TGGGATTTATAAAGTCTTTAGATCTTTTGGAAACATGACCTCATATAGGAATTTTATTTCATTCTAAATTTTTAATCTTAAAAATTAAACTTCACTGAAAGTTTAGAACCTTAGTTTGATGAGGGCAATCAAAAAACAACTAGGAGGGCAGAGTCTGATAGAAGGCACTATCATTAGGGGCACTGAGGTTCTGTTGGTAAGAAAGAGATATATACAGACTTCTTAAATACCCACAAAACATACATTGAAAAGACTACAAACCATTCAAAAGTGTACTCAGTTTTCAATAACATTGGCTAAAGAGAGAAGAAAACAATAATAAGTGCAGTATGTACATCATATCCCTAAARAAGAGGTTGTAAAATGCATACCATTTACAATGATGGTGAATATAGCATGCCAGAATGGTGGTATTGCTTTTGGCGGAACCTTAAACAATGGTAAGCAAAGATCATCATTTTGGTACCACCAGTAAACTCCAATCACATGAAGCATGAAAACTATACAATAGCCARCAAGAACAGATAGTTTTCTCTCCCCCTGCAGAATTTATCAATCATTATGCTCAACAATAGACACCGTTTACATTTCTATATGTATTTAATACCAAAACATGGAAATGGCATAAATACCTATTTCTGTGATTGGAGAAAACTATATGTTCTTATACATCAATAAATACCTTCTTATTCTTATACATGAAAGCAGTTATTCGATGAAAGGGTAAGCATGAAAGTSTACTRCSCTTTTAACATAGTTCTYCGGTTCAAATAGTAAGTACCATCTCCCCATAAGCATATAAGCACATGAGGATCCAATTTATCATCTTGCTTTGTATTCATGTCTTGCTTGAGTTTTGAAAGTATAAACCCCCCCACCCCAAAAAAAAGAGTTATTTGGGCATGATTTGCTGTGCAGATTTTCATATTGAAAATTTCAAATTTCGTTGACCAATTTCTTTAGGCATGTTTGGTTAGTAACATGGTTAAAATTAAATCATATTGTCATCCATGAAGCCTAGCAAACAGTCCCATAGCAGATAAACAACAGCAAACTCAAACCAAGGAGATAAAGGACATACTAAGAGCATTGCAGTCCTATAATAACTAAGCACAKAAGCTTCTGAACAAGACCAACCTAACAGATCTGCACATTAGCTTAAGAACCATTCTGATATGGACATAAACTATATAAACAGATTGGATACTCCATAACACCAAAAAAGCTTTGTATGGCCATGCTCCATCACTAACTATTATTARCCTTAAAACAGATTTAAGCACAAAAACCATAAATCACCTAAAGAAACGATAAATTTTAGTGTGTTTGCTACTTTATATCAAAATTACCTTGGATCCTCTAYGTTGAGAYAGCTGCTAATCCAAAAACTTGTGTTTCAGTCGGACCTGTCATAAAGCAWATACAATGTAAAGCATGTAGAAACACCTCCTCAAAGGATCAAATATAAACCTAATTTTACAAATAGATAGAAACAACGCATAGAAGTATCCACAATCGAAAAATGAGTAGAGATATGAAGAGATGAAGACAAACTCGAAGTTGACCGTAACTGGATGAATCCTCAAGCCCTAAATCCACAGATTTAACTCGAAGTCGGTTGAAAAAAATCGAAGATCGTAATCAATAGATATTGGAGAGAAATCATGAAATTGTAGAGCTCTCGCACCCTAATTCCAAGAGAAATCGAAGGGAAATCAGTGAAATCGGTAGAACTCTCGCACCCTAATTCGGAAAACCAACGATATCAAAGAACGTATAATTTTGATTTATTAAAAAATAAAAACCCTTTTAGATACGGTTTTAAAAAGTATAAGATAGTAACAAAAACTTTTTGTTTAATTTAAAAAGAAAAATAAAATA